CTGACTGGTTTGATTGAGAGAACGCACACTGCTACTCATACTCTTGTAACTAGACAGCAAAACAAACTGCATAAAAGCACGCTTTGAATATGAATTAGAAAAATTAGAGACTACTTCTAATGAAAGCAGAGGTGGGAGGATCAGGAGGTACACCTGAGAGAGGTTTTGGGGGGGTTGGCGGGGGCAGTAGTGGTTTTGTTGGCTATGTAACAGTTGAGTAGTTGTCTCTCTGTTTGCAAGGTTGTGGTGTATGTGGATGCAGTGTGTATATAAATATCTTCAGACAGTTGAACATTAACACTGCCAGTACTACAAGATACCTAAACCTGAACTAAAATGCAGTGTAAAGGTTAGCCTGATGTTGGCACCACAATAACACACGTGTGCGGGTTTTGGATGAGAGCAGTCCCAGCTCTGCTTGGCTTGGCACTGAGACAAGTGTGATCATGTGGTTGTGTGCACTTATCCCTGTAGGCATCTCGTGGACCATTGCTGGTTTGTATCTGGTATCTTCTGAAATGATGGCATTCTTATACAAGATACATTTGAAAATATTTGCCAGTAAAGAATCATGGTGTCAACTTTAAAAAACGAACAAACAAAACCAAAAAACAACAATAACAAATTCCCCAAAACACAAACAAATGAAAAAAAACCTCAACCCCACAACTTTTTCATTTGTGAAGGTGGTTGTGGATGTTTCAGAAGGAAACCAGTAGGCTGGAATATGTGCTACCTGTGTCGCTAGGCCAGGTGGTCTCAGTCCATCCTGAAAATATTCTTGTAACTCCTCAGATTAACCACTCCTGACCAGATGCCCACAGGGACAGATCTGTATGAGTAAAGAGTTACTGCCCCCATTGTCCTCATAACGACAAAACAACTGTATTAAGGCGCTCATCCCCTTCCTGTTGCAATCACTAATTTAGCAGACTGAGCAGTGTGTTACAGTTTTGGGGACAGTAAGGACTAAAGGGTTGAACGTTGCATGGTTTCTGAAGAAATATGTTTTTACCTGTATTTTAAACTTCTGGGGGAAAAGTGTCTTGCCTACTTGAAAACCAAGTTCAAACTGCATTTGATAAGCTTCAGTAAAATCCATGCAGTTTCTCATGGATTAGGTAATTCTGGATATAAGTATTTGCATGTCTTGAGAGTAACTTTGCTCTTGACGTGATACATATGAGGTTGTTGAACTGGACTAAATTACTCTATGATGACCAAATAGCAAGCAAGAAGGAAAAATAAAGATTTACTATATGCATTTACAAAATTGAAATCATATATAATATTACAAATTTATAATTATGTACTTCTAAATCAACTCATAAATGCAGGCCATGCTGTAGACTATGTGACTAGACATAATTTGTGGAAGACAGATTATTTTTTTTGTGAATCTGCTTGCTATAGACTAGAAATGTTATTTAAAAGCTTATTTAAGAGATTGTGTGCTTCTGAAGGCTTTTATTGTGTGGGATTTTCTTTTAATAATTTGGATGAAAAAAAATTGCAGTCTACACCTGACAGCTCAATGTTCTGACATAGGTATTGCTATCTCTGTCCCAAACAGGTCTGCCAACTTGCAGTTTTCTCTTGAACGTCTCCTGCTTATTGCAGCAGCATCATGTATTTATGCAAAGATATGGCTTACCAATCAGCAATTCAGTGTATCTTTTAAAGTGGTGAGCAAGTTAACTCTTCAATGGGATGATAATTTTTACTGCTGCATTAAAATGCCACATTTAACTTACTTGCTAATTTGACTATTGAACTAGCATCAAAAGAGGATAAACTGTCTTCAGTTTATCAGTCCTCATCGGTAGTTTCTAGCCCGACCAGATATTGATTGTGGTTCTTCTAAATAAGCTTGTGTATGAAGATATGTATCAATACTAATGAAAAACATTCACATCCTGTGAAGAGCCTTAAACATTTTGTGGTCTTTATTGTTTCTCTCCCTGAAGTAATACTGCTTTTTTCACAAACACTGTATTATCTGACATATGATAGTCATGGAAGCCTGCTGTCATACAGGTTTTATGCTTTAAGAGACTGGTAAGTGGCAACTCTGTGGTGGAAAAGTTGATGGCACTAGCTTTCCAGAGTGGCTCCACACATGAAGTAATTTTGAAGTATATCACAACCGATGGGATTTTGCAGCAGAGCACTTGATGTCCTAGGGACTTGTAGCAGTGTGATACACTAAGTGAAGAAAATTGCAAAGGAAGCTCCTTCTGCGTTCAGGGTCTTTCAGTATGGCTTACCCATTTGCAGAAGGGCAATAGCTAATCAATGTTAAAAGCATGGGACTTAGAAGGCAGGTCAGCTATCCTCTTTAAACAAATTATAGTAGTATATCACTTGCTTTGAGAACCATCTTGATCCTTAATGTTCAAAATGCAAATTAAATATATGGGTTTGGCATTGTAGTTATTAAAAATAATTTTTTCATAAGGTGAGTGGATTTAGTGGGGTGTGATCACAACAAATCTGTGCAACTAATGAGAATATGATTATTAGTCTGAGCAATCCAAACAAAGTTACCTAGAGTTTCAGTCTGGACCTGGCCTGTGATAAGCATCTTGTGTAATCTCATCTAAAGGACTTCTGAAAAGCAGTAGAATGATGCGGTGCTCTGATTGCTGGTGGCTCGGCCAAGAAATTTGAAGTTGCAATGTTCACATTGTAATCGTGTTATCTATCAAATTGGCTAACAACTTGTCTGCCCTCAGCTGAAATTAATGATTTAGCTGAATATTTTGTGCTTGATGGCCAGTCAGCAAATGCTGTAAAGGACGTGTGTAGTGGAACTTTACTCTTGTTTGTTAGACTCACCTGACCTTAGCTGTTTTCCTTCAACAATCTGTAGATATACAAAGCACTTGAGCTAACACGACATACCAGAGGATGGAAGAGATTGCAGCATGATTGGGGACAGGCTGATGCTAGAAGGATATGGGAATGTGTGAGATAAACAGGTGACATAGAGGGCTGCAAGGAAATACCTTGGCATTGATTTGGCGATCAGAATGCTGAATAGATAGCATCATTGCTGACAGAAATACATTTGTCTTTCTATAAAGTAGACTTTAGCTTGTGAATCTGGACTAATGTGCATGCTCAAAGTTAGTATGAACAGCACTGGAGAATACATACAGCAAACATGAACTGTGTCTTGTGCTCCTTTAAGGAAAATATTAATCCAAAATTTTAAAAGGCTAGAACCATTTTCTTTAATGAATATTAACAGAAGCATTCTCCAAGAAGCTTAGACATCTTCTGCAGTGTTAATGTGTATATAGCTTCCCATGCGTGGGTTTGAGTAACACAAAGTATAGCTGTTGAATACTTGCTTTTGAAAGTATTGAAAAATGCTTTCATACCAAGGATGATTTTTGGTTATTTTATAACATACAAACATCCTGAATGAATTCCAGACTTTCTGCCATGTAATCTCTGCATGTTCGTGTGTGTAACACTGTGTGTGAGGGGCAGTATAATTTTTTAATTTCTTTTTTTTTCTGTGTTTTTCTGTCTATGTCATATCTCCCTTACTTAAACAGTTTCCATTTCAAGATGAGAGGCAGGGTGTTAGGGAAGAAAACTTCCGGGAATATAACAGTGACCCAGTGCATGTGTTTCTTTCAAAAACAAGGTTTTCATGCTGACTTTACATCAGTAGCATGAGGTGATAAGCAACTGTTCATCTAAGATGAATATTTCATCCAGTCCGGGATGTCAGTATATTTGTTTCTTCAACTGTGTGTGCAAAATACCTCACCTCCTGCATAATCCCATAGTACAGACGCTTGAATCAGGAGAGTGTCATAATTTTCTTTGAAAATTTTGGAGTGTGTTCTATCACTTGTATGAAAGACTTTTTTGCTTTTGTCCGTTTCAAAATACAGTGTAGAGGAAATTCCATGGAAGGCCATAATGCCATAGACTGAAAGAAATACTTTTTAACTCCAGTCTTTTGGAGTCAAGATACCCTAAAAGGACCTTATGCTGCTAAAGAATGGAGTACTTTTCGTACTAGTACCTTCCATGTGCTTTAAATCTTTACCTTTTTCTTTTTTTAAGGAGATCATAGGGATCATCTATGATCCTATGAAGTTCTCTTATGATCTCCTATGAAGTTTGGTGTCACCAACTTGAAAGCAACAAATTTCTCTCGCATATTGTTAGAAATGAAGTACTGGAATTTCTGGGTGAATAAGTAACTCAAAAAGCATATTACAACTTGCTCATCGTCCTTTTAGAAAAGAAAAATTAAAAAAATCACCCTGATTTTACATCCCAACGTTTGCTTTCTCAGACTTTGTGCTTTAAATGAGCTTTTGTTGGTTTTTTTGGTTTTGGTTTGTTTTTTTTTTAAAGACCAGGTGGTTTTTAAAATAATAGTATTAAATAATAGCCTCAAATTTCAAAGTGAAGTTGCTGTCAGACTTTCAACTCTAGTCAGTTTTTTTACTTGTCTAATCAAACCAAATAACATTTTAGGATGATGGAGCAGAACAACTTGTTGAGCGTTACTAATCTAGCAGAACTGTTGTAACACGCTTCTTAAAATTTGCAAAGATTGACTGTCAGAGTAGTTGTAGAAGACAAAGGTTGGTTTGTGACTAAATGCTTCTTAATAAGTTAAGTAAGTCTACCAGGTGATATGAAGAAGTCATGGTTTGAAAACCAATCTGAATAATTAAGGTGAGAATCAAGTGAAACTTTCCCAGTGGAATTTCCCTGCCCGGTGTGGTGGGAAGTGTTCATCTGTGCTCCAGAGGCAGCCGGTGCCTGGGAGCTGAGCGTATCTGCAAGATTGCGTTATCCTTGCCTTCTGCCGTAACATTCTCTCTCAACGCATAATCCTGGCCGTGTTGTGTGGAAGTTCTTTGGACCTTCGATCTGAATCGGCATGGCATGTCTGGAATGGCTGTGAGTTCTCAGGAATTTCAACAACCACTTACAGCATCTTTTGTCTTCCTATTTCCACAGCTTACAAAGGTGACCAGTAAAGTTCTCTCTGAGCAGCCAAAAAGCAGACAGCTCATGACTTCTGATCAGGACACTAAAGTTTTGTCTGAACCGCAGGTGCAGCAAGTACAAGAAGTTAAAGACGGTTCTCATCTGGTAAGTATTATGATTACGTAGTCCCCTGGTATGAGCATTGCATGAAACAGTTTTTTTGCGATGTCTTAATCAAAATTGTACCTCAGAACATTTTAGAAGACAGTTGGCTGATAGCGTTGCAACAGAAAATGCTAGAACAGAGCTGTTGAAGGTGGCCAATTCTCCATACCGAGTAGAAGCCTCAACTTAAGTTTTCTTCAGTCCCACAGGGGATTTAAATAAACTGCAAGTTACAACAGTTTGCACTCATTTAAGGTACAGGGCTTTTTAGGCTCTGCAGGAATTGTATTACCAAACTTGAGTTATGTTCTAGCTCCCATATTTACGTGTGAGGAAAATGCAGGAAGTGCACTTGGCATGTATCTGTGATTGGAAAAAAAAAGTACAAACCCATACAAATAGGAAATTGCTTTCTGTAACAGGAATTCTGCGCAGTCAGTTCTGCCAAATGGCACGTGCTGCTGCTTCTGTGCTACTGTGCAGGATCCAGTAAGTTGCTTTATGGGATGGCTTTTGGCAAATCATACTGCAGATAGTACTGTGTGTATATATGTTGCAGTAAATTACGTATGTCTTCAAGAAGATTGAATACTTGATTTGTATGAGCTTTACTCAAAACGTTATGTTTTCATCTTTGATCGTTAACTGTATATTGGGATGAATGTTTCCTCTTGGGACGTCTTGAAGGGTTTGGTTTCAGTGCATGTTTTGCTAGGCGCTTAGCCTGTGCTATGCTAAGCTGCAGATGCTTGCTGCTTCGACTTACCTTGCAGCGAGCGCTAAGGACTATTTTGAAAAACACTCTGAACTTGTGCTTTTCTTTGCTAAGCAAGGTGGTGGGGGTTTTGTTTGTTTGTGTGTTGTCCCTCCCCCTTTTTTTTATTTTATCTTCTGCTCTGTTTTACCTTTCTCAGATGTGAATTTTGTCTATTTGACAGTAGATGAAGAAGTTGAACCCACTGTTGTGCCATACTTCTGAAAGTTGAGCTGTTGTAATTTTTTTTTAATTATTTTTTTTTCCTGTATGTGGGGTATTAATTCCAAGAAACCAGTGTGTAAGCTGGAGTAAAAGGCTCTTGCAGATTTGCTTCAAAAGCTTGGAACTGTCAGTGCACTTTCAACAGGTGCATTAGTATTAAAGGTGGTTTGATTAGTCTTCGCATTGATGCTAGTTCTTTTAATTTGGCATACTAGAATTTTTATAAAACTACATGTAAACTTGGATCTAAATCTTAATTTCTGTTCTTTCTTTCTGTACTTGGAGAAAGAGAGTCACCATTTCTTTCAATTCCAGAAAATCTGTCTGTTCTTTTCCTTAGTAGAGGAGACTAATGTCAATTTAGATATCTTGAGATGTATCCATAGTGCTATAATGGTGCATTTCAAATAACTAATTCTTTTGAGATTAAAGCTTTCCCTTTGCTGAATATTTTAGTCCAAAAAGATGAGCCCTGTAGCTTATTAAGCTTTTTAAGTTATATCAGTAATATACTCTTATATGCACGGCACCTGAAGGTCATTTTTTGGTATGAGAATCATTGTCAGTATATGCTGTTAAAAGTGTTGTTACAAGATGGCCCGTAATGGCGTGCTTGCGTAAATGTATTTTGCCAGTGCTTCAGGACTTCGCTTGCAAGTTTGAGGAACAAGGCTGTAGTTTGAGAAAAACTTCATGGCGTATAGGAAGAAGTTAGCAAATTAAAATCATTAAGACACTTTCATCTTTCCAAAAATGTGATAGGAAGGAGAAAAACTTCTGAAGTCCTGACTCAATTGCATTTAGCAAGTATATGCTTCAGTTTAACTCAAAATCACCTGCTGCTTCTTGTGTGTCTTAATTATTTTGAAATCACGGGGCTAGGCAGCGTAAAGGTATAGATTCATGTGTGTGATGGTCCCTATTTCAGGGTGTATTTGTTATGGGACCATGCTGCCATGGTATCTAGTGAGATTTCTAGGACTCTCTTTTTATAGACTTAAAAGAAATTTGGTGAATTACATTCTCTAGCTATTTTGGCTATGCTGTTCTACTAGGATCTGATGATACCTAGTCCAAGTGCTTTTGTGGCAGTTTGGGATGAAAGTTGTAGAATTTCTACTGGAAATTTTGATGCACCTCTGTAGATCCTGGAAAAATAACTCCCTGTATGCTCATCTTAATTCTGAAGTGATTGTATAAAGTATTTTTGTTATATCTTTAAATATTAACAATGAATAATTTTTCCTAATTATGACTTTAGTCAGTCTGCTTTCTTTGGCAGGAACAAAACTCAACACATCTTGTAATGTTGAACAGATAGTCAGTGACAGAATTAAAATGAAAGTTTTGATGTTGTGATGGAACCATTCAGAAATCACTTTCCAGGTTGCTTATGTTAATGATATAGAAGTCACTTGTTTACTAACAGTTTTCAAAAACTTAACCTCATGGTGAGGGAGGCAAAGTAATTTCTTCTGCCTAGAAGTAGCTATAAAACTATATTCTGTTTTCTGCTTGGTGTAGATTGATCACAAGCCTGGTATGGTTCATTTCCAACAACAGCTCCTCTTGAATTTGGCTGATTTTAGTAGTATTTAACAGCAGAATTTCAGTAGTTTTACACTCAAGTCGATAGAAGGAAATTGGCAACTTGAAGATCCTCATAAATTTTTTGTCAATAGCAGCTTACGCTTACAAATTGGAGGTAGATAATTTAGAGGATACTACCAAATTCTTAGCTTTGATAAATTTGGAAGTTAAATAAACTTTTTTTTTTTTTAACTTAGAGGTGGGCTCTGTCACTTCAGGTGACATCTGTCATTGTTTTTTGTTTTGGTTTTTTTATTTTTTTGTATTCTGATTGACAATTACTCTGAGAAAGCCCTTCTTAGACTGGACCCAGGAAAGTCTGTTTAAGAAATGTTTCACTCCCTTCTGCCTCACTTTGTTTCCTTTTCCATCAGTATCTCTTTGCTGCTAGAAATTCAAGGTTAGTCTCTGAGGGAAGAGGCCGAGACCCACATCCCACAGTGGAGGTAGCTTATGTGACCGGTCTCTGCCAGACAGGGCTTAACTAACCTTCAGGGCTAAAGGCATGGTCTTTTTCCTTGCTCATTGATCCTAAACTCTTCCCCTGCCATGCCCACGTTTGAATATGGGGCCTCTCAGAGCACTTTCCAAAGACCAAAGAGTTTTCTTTCCTTGATTGCCTGAATCCAAGACTTGATCTGGAAATTTGAAATTAACTTCATAAGGGATTCCTGCCATCGAGCGGCAACAGGTTCTCTGAAAGTTGGTGTCTTCCAGGGGATTACCATGGGTCTGTTTTAACTTGCTGTCTGATTACAATATGAGCATCACACATTCTCTCTCTAGTTGAATAATTATCAGGTCTTGCCATGGCCTTCTGTTAATGAGAATTCAAACGAATGTGGTGTGCTGGTTTTGTCAATGCTTATAGGTACTCTAAATACGAACTCAATAATATTATTGGTTCTAAGCACAAGAAAAATAGCTAGCAAGTCAGAAAACTTTAGATGGGACTTAATTGTACTTACTAAAATGTTTTTCACAGGAGGTAATATGGAAGGATGTCTCGGGCTTAGAAGTGTTATGTTGTTCAAAAATCCTTTTGCAACCCATTCAAGAATAAGTATCATAGAATAAAAAAAGAACCGAGGAAATTAAATTGGCTGGTTTAATATAGGACCCTATGTAACAGTTTAGTGAAAATTCAGTATAGCGTATAATCCTCGGATCATTTGACTATATACAGTATTATATATAGTATATGCCAATTAAGAGTTAAGTAGCAGTTTGTGTAACATGTAAGTGATACTTAATAATTCAAGAGATCACAAATAGCTTTAAAGGAGAGATGGGAGGATTAGACCTTTAACTCAACATGCACAGTATCAACATCATGGAGGATCAATACTTTGAGCCAGCAACGTGCCATTGCAGCCCAGAAGGCCAATCATATTCTGGGCTGCGTCAGAAGAAACATGGCCAGCAGGTCAAGGGATGTGATTCTGCCCCTCTACTCCACTCTTGTGAGACCCCACCTGGAGTACTGTGTCCAGCTCTGGAGTCCTGAACATAAGAAGGACATGGACCTGCTGGAGCGCGTCCAGAGGAGGGCCATGAGGATGACCCGAGGGCTGGAGCACCTCTCCTGTGAGGAGAGGCTGAGAGAATTGGGGCTGTTCACCCTGGAGAAGAGAAGGCTCCGGGGAGACCTTATTGCGGCCTTCCAGTACCAAGAGGGCCTACAGGAGAGCTGGGGAAGGACTTTTTACTAGGGCATGTAGTGGTAGGATGAGGGGGAATGGCTTTAAACTGGAGTGGGAGGTGCCCCTGCCTGTGGCAGGGGAGTTGGAACTCGATGATCTTCAAGGTCCCTTCCAACCTAAAGCATTCTATGATTTTATTATTGTAATACTGCTCAGTGTTTGCTCTTTCCGTCACACTATTGTAGACTTAGGCTATAAGAAATGTGCTGAGTAGTTCTGTACCTGTAGATGACTTCTAATGCTAATGTTTAATTGCTTTAATACGTAAAATGTGCATTTAAACTCTTTAACAGTCCATTGGATATATTGGAGGGAAATTTAAGCAACATGATGAGCTGTTTCCAAAAACCTGCAGTAGCGATGCTGCTGTTTTTTCTTGCCTGGCGGTGGGCCTGGGAGTGCAGGATCATCACTGTTTCTTCAGAACTAGTTATGATTGCATGACTTCATTATAGAAGAAGGATAAATGAAGTTAGATGTCAGAAGGTTGTAAGGACTGTTTTAACTTGTGCTATTGTAACTTTAAAGCTAGACTGTATTTGAAAAATCAGGTCTGTAAGACTATATATGGGATAAACCCTTACTCCTTGATAAGGAATAGGTGCATGTAGAAATGAAAGTAGATGGGGCAGTCTACTCCTGTTAATAATAACAAGCATGTTGACTTCTTGCCTTCTCTGTATGTGTGCGCAGGACATAAGACTAAAATACTTACGAAAGTGCTGCTT